CCAGAAGAGCTAAAAAAGAACTTCTCTGAAGAGGAAATGCAAATGGCCAACAGGCATATGAAAAAATGTTCAACATCACTTGTAAGCAGGGAAATGCAAATCAAAACTACAATGAGATATCATCTTACACCAGTGAGAATGGCACATATTAAAAAAACTAGCAACAACAAATGTTGGCGAGGATGTGGAGAAAAGGAACTCTCCTGCATTGCTAGTGGGAGTGCAAACTGGTCCAACCACTATGGAAAGCTGTGGTGGAGATTCCTCAACCTGCTAAAGATGGAGCTTCCATATGATCCAGCAATTCCTCTCCTAGGTATTTACCCAAAGGACACAGAAACATTAATTCAAAAGGGCACCTGCACCCCTATGTTTATAGCAGCATTTTTTACAATAGCTAAGCTATGGAAACAACCCAAATGCCCAAAAATAGATGACTGGATCAAGAAGATGTACATATACACAATGGAATATTACTCAGCAATCAAAAAAGATAAACTCATGCCATTTGCAGCAACATGGATGGAGCTGGAAGGCATCATGCTCAGTGAAATAAGCCAGAAAGTAAAAGAAAAATACTGGATGTTTTCGTTCATAGCAGGAATTTAGAAAACCTAAATAAGGGACCAGGAAAAAAACTAATTATAATAAAGTAAAACTCAAAATCAACAAACAACTATAAACCAGAGACACACTACAGGGGGTGGAAGAGGGAGAAGGATCAAAACAAGGGTAATGGGAATTGTATGGGGACTACAAGCAAGATGAAAATGCATATATTGTACAAAAATGAAAAATGATGTAAAAAAATAAATAAAAATTTAAAAAATTTAAAAAAGATTTGAAGTGTCTTCCTAGCTATTAATTAATGAAAATCAGAGAAAAATAAAATAAAAATGTGAAAGACCAAAAAAAGAGAATTATTTGGTCTAGCTCCTCATTTAAACCTATTGTTTCCTTATTTATATTTTGTCTTGTTAATCTGTCTGTTGTTGTAATTGGGATATTAATGTTCCCTACTTTTATTATGTTATCAATACCTCTCAAGTTCTGTTCTTAGTTTTCTTATGTATCAGTTGCTCCCTGATTTTGTACATATATGTTTATGATTTTTATTTCTATTTGTTGTATTAGACCATTAATCATACTATAGTATGATAGTATTTTCTTTCTTTTTTTAAAAGATTCATTTATTTGGGCCTCCCCAGTGGCGCAGCGGTTGAGCACTGGGTCACGAAGCTGCCCGCAGCCTCTGCAGCGCCGGTTCGATCCCCGGCTGCTCCCCGGCCACCAGAGGAGGGTCCCACATGGCGCGCAGACCTCTTCTGCCGCCCGCTGCTCCCCTCAGCAGTGTACTTCGTCACTCTGCCTGTTCTGCTCCCCGCTCTGGCTCTGGTGAATTCTCTCACCCTCCCGCACTTCTGACTGTACCCAGTACTTATATAATAAAAAAATAAAATAAAATAAATCTTTAAAAAAAATAAAAGATTCATTTATTTGTGCATACAAGAGCTGGGGTGCAGGCCGGAGGTGTAGGGGGTGAGGGAGGGGGATGAGAGGATTCACTAGAGACGGAGTGGGAAACAGAACAGGCAGATTGACTGAAATACACTGCTGAAGGGAGCAGCGGGCAAGACAGGAGAGGTCTGCTGTACCATGTGGGTCAGCTCCCTGGCCGGGGATCATTCATGCTGCAATGGCTATGGATTGCTCCATAGTGCTGTGACTTAATCCCTTGCGCCACCAGTGAGGCCCCAGTATTTTCTTTCTTAATTGAAAGTCTCTTTTAGCAGATATGAGTATAACAGTTCTAGATTTTTTAAATTGTAATTTGCCTGTATAATTGTCTTCCAGCCTTTAACTCTAAGTCTATGATTATCTCTGTTGGTAAGTTTCTTTTTTTTTTTTTTAACTAGATTTAATTTTTTTTTATTTTTATTTATACAAGAGCTGGGGTACAGGCCAGAGATGCGGGTGAGAGGATTCACCAGAGACAGAGCAGGGAACAGAACAGGCAGATCAACTGAAATACTCTGCTGAGGGGAGCAGCGGGTGAGACAGGAGAGGTCTGCTGCGCCATGTGGGATTCTCCCTGGCTGGCCGGAATCTAGCCAGCGCTGAGGTGGCTGTGGACAGCTTCACAGCATTGCGCTCAACTAGCTGTGCCACTGGGGAGGCCCAGATTTAATTATTTATGCGTGCAAGAGCTGAGGTTAGGCCAGAGGTGTGGGAGAGTGAAAGGATTCACCAGAGACAGAGTAGGGGAGCAGAATAGGCGGACTGACCGAAATACACTGCTGAGGGGAGCAGCAGGTGAGATAGGAGAGGTCTGCTGTGTGCCATGTGGGTTAGCTCCCTGGCTGGGGATCCAACTCATGCTTCAGTGGCTTCCGATAGCCTCTTAGTGCTGAGACTCAACCCCTTGCACCACCAGGGAGGCCCCAGTAAGGTAAGTTTCTTGTAAACAAATACTCTACACCTTTTGACTTGTGCGTTCAGACCATTTACACTTATGTTGGTTATTGAGACATAAGTGCTCATTGCCATTTTATTTTGTTTTGTTTTTGGTTAGTCTTGCCTTTTTTTTCCCCTTGAGGGCTTCCTATTATGTTTTGATTAATTTCCGTTTACATTGTTTTACATGTTACTTTTATTATTTTTTTGTTTGAGGGTTCTACTGAGGTTAGTATATAATGACTACTCATGTGACCTGTTATATGGTCTTTCTCTTACTTTCTGATTTGCCACATTGTTGACTCCTTTTCTCCCTCCATGGTAAATGACTTAGCAGTCTGTTGTCTGAATATCCTTTGTTCTGTTGCTTTACAGTAAAACAACCCCTTTGGGATTTCTTTCATGTGTGACTTGGCATTGATAAATTCTTTCATTGATAGTGTTTGCTTTTTAGTGAAGCTCACACTCTTCCTTCTGTCTTGAATGTTAATCTTGCTGAGTAAAGTGTTCTGGGCTAGGAGTCTTTCTTTAGGTACATTAAATATCTCTTTTCAGACCCTTCATACTTGTAATATTTCTGCTAAAAACTCCATTGACAATCTAACTAGTATTCTCTTATATGGTATCCTTTTTTTTCTTCATGTTTTTAATATTTCATTCTTGTTATTGGTCTTCAACAGTTGTATTATAATGTGTCTTGGTGTGTGTCCGTCTGGTATTTTGTTTAGAACTCTTGGGGCCTCTAGGAACACAATGTCTGGTTTGTCTCCCAAACTAATTATTTTCAGTGATTATTTCTTTAAATGGGTTTTCTATGACTTTCTCTTTCTCTTCTTGTAGGACCCCCATAATATGGATGTTATTACTCTTTAAGATGTCCCAGAGGGCTCCTACACTATTTTCATTTTTTAAAATTCTTTTTTTCTCTGCGTTGTTCTATTTGTGTGTTCTCCAACATGGTGTTTTCAAGCGCATTAATTCTCTCCACTGCTTTTGTTTGTCTGCTATTGAGGTCCTCATTTATAATTTTTAAATCAGCTGTAGTGTTTCTTAGTTTTGTTATCTCTAATTGTAGCTGCTTCATATTTTTCTTATCTTTATTCTGTTGTTGTTTTATAACTTTTTTTGTGTTTTGAGTTCCATAAGCACTTTCAGAACTGTTTTATTATAATGGTAACTTTTCTATTTATATTCTTTTTTTTCCTATTTATGTTCTTTTTTTTTTTTAAAGATTGATTTATTTATGCATTACAAGAACTGGGGTATAGGCCAGAAGTGAAGGGGGTGAGAAGATTCACCAGAGACAGACTGGGGAACAGAACAGGCAGATTGACTGAAATACACTGCTGAGGGGAGCAGCGGGTGAGTCAGGAGTGGTCTGCTGTGTCATGTGGGTTGCTCCCTGGCAGGGGATCAAACTCATGCTGCAGTGGCTGCGGATAGCTTCATAGGTTGCATCTTAACCCCTTGTTCCACCAGGGAAGCCCTCTATTTATATTCTTAATAGTGGTTTTAACTCCCAGTTTTATCACTTAACCCTTTGTTGTTAGTTTTAAGTAGTATCCTTAGTGTGACATCTATTATCTAGACAATACTCAACATACTTAATTTATTCTCCCCCCAACCACTGTTAATTTTACTGTTAAGATAGTTTTGCTTTTTTCCATGTTATCATATAAATGGAACTGAACAGTATATCTGTACAATATATAGCCTCTAGTGGCTGACTTTTACTCAGCATAGCATATTTGTGATTTATCCAGGTTGTTAATGTATATCAGCTGTTGTTGTTCCTTCTAAACTACTGATTAGTAACCCATTATTGGGCCATACCACAGTTTTGTTTTATTTTTATTTTGAAATGATTGTAGTTTCATGGATAGTTGCAAAAATAGTATAACAGCCCTACATATCCTTTTCCAGCTTCCTCAATGGCAGCATCATATAAACCAGGACATTGATGTCGGTATAATAAAATTTACTGATTTATAGCACTTATTCAGTTTTCTCTTGTTTTTACATTCATTCATGTGTGTATGCATGCAGCTTTTTATTTTTACATACCACATATACCACCACCACCATCAAGACACTTAAATCTTTCATCAACACCAAGCAACTTCCCTCCTCATTATACTACTTTATAGTAACACTCCTTGCCTCTATCCCTCTCCTCTGGCAAACACTAATTTCTTCTCCATCTCTATAATTTTGTCATTTGAGAATGTTATATAAGTGGAATCATAAAATTGTGTACTCCCTTGGGATTGGTTTCTTTTCATTCACCATAGTGTTCATGAGATCCATCGACATTGTATGTATCAATAGTCATACATCAATAGTTTGCCCCTTTTTAGTGAATATTATTCCATATTATAGATGTATTAGTTTGTGAAAACTGAATGAAAAAATGCATTATATCTGTTTTCTTTCACAGAATCTGGGGAAAATGATTATGCCAAAGTAATGCTAGAATACATTTTTTTGTACATATTGAAATTGTTGAGTTAAAAATACTAATCTGCATAATTTTTTCTCTCTTTTAGGAATCTTTGCTATAGAGATTTCTGACACACAAAATGATTCTTCATGTCCTTGGGAAAAGTCAAGGTTACAAACTGATTTTTTTTGCTATATGATTGCATTTATCTTTTGAATGCTTGACAATGTTAAATGTTTTTATTAACTGTGTGCCTCTGAATCTCTGTTGTCATGTGCCATATTGCAGTGATCTGAGATGACTTATAAAAACAAAATGAATATGGCTCTTTTCTATCCATACAGTAATAGTGAGTGTAAAATCTGCTTACTTCACTATTGAACACTGTTATGTTAACTATCCGGAGTAAATAAAGAAGCTTGTAAAAAAGAGGGAAAAGTGTTTTTACAAAACTGATTTCCTTTCCTTTCTTGGTATCTCAAATAATTGGTTGGTTAAATTTTTCTTTGTGATTTATGCTTTCATGACTAGAGAAGTTGTGTCAAAATAGGCACAGCTTGCCAGTACTGGCCTGGTACCCAATATTCCATTTTGGAACCAATCTGACATAAGTTCCAGGCCATAATCTGACATCAAAACAGCAGATAGTAGGAGTTTTTAAATCCATAGTACTGGGTTTTTAAATCCATAGTATTGTACCACTAGTTAACATACATTTTCTACAATTGTGTTTATCCTACTATTTAGAAAGGTAGGTGATGCTATATCTGTCATATCTGTCAAGAATGTAAGATTTTTAAAAATCTGTATTTTTAATAAGTTTTCTTTAAAACATTAAAGTACTGCAATCAATTTAATTGCCATTTTATTTATTTATTTTGCCTGTGGTAGCTGTCTGTAATGCAGCATAACAAGTTTAGTGATGTTTTCTTATTTCCCCTAAAGCCTCTTAAATAGCTAATCTTTTCTGTCCATAGGCTGATTTAATGTTGATATTAGAGTCTGAAAAGTATTGTATTTTACTGATATAAGTTATTTGTATCTTTCCATTTTAATAAAATAAGTCTTGCCATTAATAGTATCATATGTAGACAATTTCTCATTTTATATAGTCACTATTAGTATAACTATAGTAATGTAGAATAGCACCCTGGCTTAGGTTTTATTTAATCATTAGCACTTTGATATTTTACTATAAATTTATATTATATATCCACTTTAGTTTTATTTTTAAAAAGATTTATTTATTTATATATACAAGAACTGGGGTTAGGGCCTCCCCAGTGGCGCAGCGGTTGAGCGCTGGGTTGCGAAGCTGCCCACAGCCTCTGCAGCGCCGGTTCGATCCCTGGCAGCTCCCCGGCCACTGGAGGAGGGTCCCACATGGCGTGCATACCTCTCCTGCCGCCCGCTGCTCCCCTCAGCAGTGTACTTAGGTCCTTCTGCCTGTTCTGCTCCCCACTCTGGCTCTGGTGAATTCTCTCACCCTCCCACGCTTCTGACTGTACCCAGTGCATGTATAAACAAAACAAACAAACAAACAAATAAATAAATAAAACATGCCTCTATTAAAAAAAAAAAGAAAAGAAAAGAAAAAAGAACTGGGGTTATAGGCCAGAGGTGCAGGGGGTGAGAGGATTCACCAGAGACAGAGTGGGGAGCAGTACAGGCGGATCTACTAAAATATACTGCTGAGGGGAGTAGTGGGTGAGACAAGAGAGGTCTACTGACCCATGTGGGCTAGCTCCCTGGCCAGGGGTGGAACTTGTGCTGCCATGGCTGCCGATAGATAGCTTCATATTGCTGAGACTTAATCCCTTGTGTCACCAGAGAGGCCCTTTAGTTTGATTTTTAAAAGCCTTTGGGCTTACTCATCTAGTTTAAGCCTTTAGATTGGTTTTAAATATTGAATAACTTAAAATAAGATGCCCTTTATAAACATTTTAGAGAATAATATACAAAAATCATTCTTACTAGTATTAAATAATATACTGATAAATGCGCAATACTGATACCTTTGCTAGGTAATGCAATGATCTAAGCACTAGACAATTGCAATATTAATTTCAGTCTGTCTTCTTTCTAGAAGAATTGACAAGGAGCTGAGTATCACTTGTCATATGTTCTTAACATATGTGGTATGTGGCAGGGAGTATGTGGAGAGAGGGGCATGAGAGAAGGGAAATAAAGCATGTAAGAAAATATTCCCATACTTTGATTAAAAGTTTACTTATTTGCGCCATTAATTAGAGAATATTTAAAAGGAAAATTATGTGGTAAGTATAAACGACCAACATTATCCAAAGGTAGAGAAACCTCAACTGTATTTTATGTTAAAACAAAGAAAAATTTTTTCTTATGGTGATCTTTAAGAACAGTTATTTTTTTAAATGAAATTCTAATTGCTTGACATAAATATGTAATAACCTATTGATATGGTAGAGACTGCCCAATGCAATAAAATAACACAATACAAAATCTGTATAAAGCATATTCTTTCTTTGATGCCAAAGAAATCTCCTGAAAAAAGAGTTGGATTGTCATTTTCAATACAAAACATGCATCCTTTCTGAAGTAAGGATATTTTGAAAGAGAAATTGATAGCTCTCTGAGTTAAATATCTCTTAGGCACTGAGTCTCAATACATCTAAACTCAATTCAGTGATGTCTCCTTATATTCTCTGTCCTTTTTCCCAACATAGAGTGTCACCACTCACTATGTCAGACATTTGAACACTGTGTCCAGCTGCCATGCCAGGTCACCACTTCCCCTGCTAACTTCACACATTCATTAAAATAAATGTTACTTCCTACTACACAGTTTTGCTGAAAGAAATTAAAGAAAACCTATATAAATGGAAAGTTATTTCATGTTCATGGATTAAAAGATTTAATATTGTTAGGATGGCAATAGTTCCCAAACTTCAGATTAAATATAATCCTTATAGAATCCCATGGAGTTTGTTCCTTTATTTATTAGGACTGGGAAGGGCAATCCTCAAATTCATATGGAATTGTTAGGAACTCAGAGCAGCCCAAGCAATCTTGAAACAGAACAAATTGAAGGACCCACATTTCCTAATTTCAAAACTTGCTATAAAGTTGCAGTAATTGAAATAGCATAAGAATAGACATGTGGATCAATGGAATAGAATTCAGAATCCAGAAATAAACCCATAGCTCTATTATCAATTGATTTTTAACAAGGGCACTAGGACCATTATATGTAGAAGGAACAGTCTTTTAACAAGTGTTACTTAGACAACTGGATAGCCATATGCAGAAGAATGAATTTGGACACTTACCACATTGAAAAAGCAAATGGTAAACTGGCCAAAATAGATCACCTTAATTTGGGCGCTAAAACTATACAATTTTTTGTAAAAACAGAGTTCATGACATTGGAGTTTACAATGGTTTATTAAATATTATTTAAACAATAAGTGACAAAGTAGATAAATTGGACTTAATTGGAATTTAAAACTTTATGCATCCAACTATACTATCTAGAAGATGAAAGAACACACACAAATAATAGAATATATTTGCGAATCATATATCTGATAGGAGTGTAGCATCAGGAATATATAAAGAAATTTTACAATCTAAAACTAAAACTCCACTCAAAACAGGGTGAAGGACTTCAATAGAAAATATACAAATGGTCAATAAGCACATAAAAAATAGTCTACTTCATTAGTCATTAGGGAAATGGAAATCAAAACAATATTAGCATGTCCCTTCACATGCACTAGGATGACCATAATAGGAAATAATGGCAATGAGGATAGGGAGAAATTGGAACCCTTTTACTTTTTATTGATGGTGGTCATATAAAATGGTATAGCTACAGTGGAACACAGGTTTGGCAGCTTCTCAATAAGTTAAACATAAAATTATCTTATTACCTAGTCATTTAATTCCTAGGTTTATACCCAAAAAATCTGAAAATGTGTTCAAACAAAAACTTGGCACATGAATAGCAACTCTAATTCACAATAGGCAAAAGGTAGCAATATCCCAAATGTACAACTGAGAAATGTATAAACAAAATGTGATATATTCCTAAAATAGAATATTATTTGGTCATAAATGTGAATGAAGTACTTATATATCCGACAGCCCTTGAAAACACTGTGCTAAGTGAAAGGAAATTCACAAAATCCACATTTTATATGATTGCATTCATATGAAATATCGAGAATAGGAAATCCATAGAGACACAAACAGATTCGTGGTTGACAGGGGACAATAGGGAAGGGTGGCTATGGGGTTTCCATTTAGGGTGATTAGTAAGTTCTAGAACTGGATAATAGTAATAGCTGTCAACACTATAAATGTATTAATGTCACCAAGTTGTTCAATTTAAATTGTTAAAATGGTAAGTTTTATCATAATAAAAAAGTCACTTCCTCAAGGTTTTTGATCCCAATATTGGTATGACTGCGTCAGATTTCAATGTAAAAACATCCTGCATTTCTCCTTGAAGTACTTATTATAGTTATAATTAATTGTTTGCATAATTATTTATTTTTCCTTCTGAATTCTAAGATCCATCAGGGCTTGGACCATATTGTCTTGCCACTGTAGCTCCTAGTGTATGCACAATACTTGATACATATTAGATGTTCTACAAAAACTGATGAAACAAAGGAATGAATTATTCCTAATTTCTGACTGTTCTACCTCCCAAATATCTATGAAATGAATAATCCTCTTTTCTCTGTTCTCACTTTTATTCAGATCATGGTAACCTCTTAATCTAGAATAATGCAGTGTCCTATTTTCTCTCTGCTTTCAGTCATATTCCCATTTAATCCATTGTCCACACTGTATGAAAAGAAATACTTTTTAAAATTTTTTGTGCTTAACTTTATTTTTTTCATTTTATTTCATTTTATTTATTTTATATATTTTTTACATCATTTTTTCATTTTTGCACAATGTATGCATTTTCATCTTGGTTATAGTCCCCATACAATTCCCACCACCATTGTTTTGATCCTACTCCCTTCTCCTCCCCTCCCCCCCCCGTAGTGTGTCTCTGGTTTATAGTTGCTTGTTGATTTTGATTTTTACTTTATTATAATTAGTATTTTTCCTGGTCCCTTATTTAGGTTTTCTAAATTCCTGCTGTGAGTGAGACCACCGGTATTTTTCTTTTTCTTTCTGGCTTATTTCACTGAGCATGATCCCTTCCAGCTCCATCTATGTTGCTGCAAATGGCATGAGTTTATCTTTTTTGATTGCTGAGTAATATTCCATTGTGTATATATACCACATCGTCTTGATCCAGTCATCTATTTTTGGGCATTTGGGTTTCCAAAGCTTACCTATTGTAAATAGTAATACTTTTTTTAAATTGAGGTTTAGATCATTGTTTCTTTTAGAAGTATATCTTCCTTTAGGTGTTATTACCACACTGCAGCCCCCAGCAACACACCCATAATCCATCACCATAGTCCACTGTGTTCCCTCCCCACTTTGTTTTTGCCCCTCCCTATCTTTTTGGTAGTCAGTTTTCTAGGTTTATTTCTTTGGCTTTATGTGACCCTATGTTTGGCTTTTCTATATTCCACGTATAAGTAATGCCATCGGATATTTCTCTTTCTCCTTCTGACTTATTTTGTTGGCATAATCACCACCCCCAACTCCATCTATGTTGCTGTGAATGGCAAGTTTATATATTTTTTGATAACTGACTAGTAGTACATTGTGTGTATATATATATATATATATATATATATATATCACAACTTTTTGATTCAGTCCTCTGTGTTTTGGCATTTAGGTTATTTTCATAGACTGACTATTTTAAATAGTGCTGCAATGAACATGGGAGTGAATGTTTTGTTTGAATTAGTGTATTTTGTTCTTTAGGTAGATGCCTAGGAGTAGAATCACTGGAACATATGGTAGATCTGTTTTTTAATATTTTGAGAAACCTTTATACCGTTTGCAGTAGGAGCTGGACCAGTCTTCATTCTCACCAATAATATACAAAGGTTCTTTTTTTTTCAAAATCTTATCAACATTTGTTGTTTTGGTCTGTTTGCAATAGACCATTCTCATAGGTGTGAG